GTGTGCGGGCGGCAGAACGGGCTTGGGATCGGTTCCCCCAGCGCGGAGGCCTAAGCTGGCCCTGAGCAGCTTTTGATCTACTCTGGTCCTGGCCACGAGTCTGTACCACGAGCGCTGCGGATTGCGTGCGAACGAGGGCAGCGTTCCCTGCCCCTCTCCTGGTGGCTGGATCAAGGCTTAATGAGGTTCTCTGCTTTGCCTTGTCTCAGTCCGTTCTATTTAAGAGATTTCTTCTCTCTGCTTTATTTCACCTTCAGTGCAGTTTTGTGACACTTCTTGTACCCCCAAAAATGTATGAGCTAATTAAGACTGTTATAAGTTGTGCAATCACATGATAATAAACGAAGTTTGCTGATCACTCATATTGAGCGACTGCTTCTTCCCTCCGTTTCGGCGAATGGCACGACACCCAAAAGGGTCTTTTGGTGCCTTTGGCAGTTTCTCAGTGCGGCGTTCCTGTGGACAGGGCAGATGCAGGTCACCCCTGGGCAGGTAGAGGGGGGAACAAGCAAGCGCCTCGCAGGGTCAGGGAGCAGGGGCGCCAGCGGAGCAGCCCGGGAGCTGTGTCTCCGGTGTGGCAGACCACAAACACCCAAATCAACCTTCTCCTGAGGCTGGGGGCGAGTCGGTCGCCCCAGGCTGGGAGCTGCTCGTGTCGGCTTGGCTGCTTGTCTTTGTAAAACGTGCAGGGGTCTCAATCCTTGTGAGACTGCAATACCCTTGGGGGCTCGGGGCAGCCCCCTCCAGCTCGGCTGCGGGCTGGCAGGCAGACGTGCTCAGAAAGCCCCAAGCCCGGGGGCACGGGCACCGCTGGCCCAGGATGGTGTCTGGGGGGGTCTGGGACCCCCCCAGCCCTGAGCTCCGCTGCGCAGCCTGGCAATGACGGGCCTTGCTCCCCCTGATTGTTTTTCTGCTAATGAGACCTCATAACTCGTTCATCTCCTTCTTGTTTTTCCTCCCAATCAGTGGAATAAACTCTCTAAGCAGTGTATTGTCGGTCCCTGTTGTGCCCGGGTTCGTTAGGGTTGTGAA